TGAAAGACTGTATATCTCACATGTTAGGAGGAAGAACAAAGAAAGGCGTAGAAGAGGAGATAGCATCAGTTATTCAATTTATGTCATTATTCACTCATTGGTTCCTAGTGGAACCTCCAATCTGAGTCAGGCCTAAGTCAGGCACTGGCAGGCACAATGGAAGAACAGGATTAAAGCTTTAAGAAGGGGCTAGGCAGCCGGGCAGTGGTGGCGCACACCTTTAATCTCAGCACTCAGGAGGGCAGAGCCAGGCGGATCTTTGTGAGTTCAAAGTCCAGCCTGGTCTACAGAGCAAGATCCAGGAAAGGCGCAAACCTACACAGAGAAACTCTGTCTTGAAAAACCAAAATAAATAAATAAATAAATAAATAAATAAATAAATAAATAAATAAATAAATAAATAAATAAAGGAGGGGGTTAGGCTGGGGGTGGCAGAGGACACTGGGCTCTTCAGGCAAACAATCTCAGGGATGTGAATGGACCATCATCTGAGGTTGGAAGTTTACTATGTATGAGTACAGGGTGGAGTAAATGTTACGTTCAGATCTCCATAACTGATTCCTGCCAGCACTACACATGCTTTGCATTTCTTGAATGGCCTCCCAGACTTCCTCACAGTGGGATTTCCCAGAACTTTGCCCCTAGTGGATTCTGACCTGCTGACCACAGTTTGGGGTGGTCAGTTTCAGGTGGGTTCACAACTGTGTCACCTCACTGAGTATCTCCATTAGCTTTGTCACAGCCTAGAGTTATTGGAGAGAAAACCCCTAGACTGAGGAATTGCCTAAATCAGAGTGGCCTGTGGGCATGTCTGTGAGTGTACTGTCCCGATTGTTAATTGATACAGGAGTGCCCAGTCCACTGTGGGTGGCATCATTCCCTGGGCAGGTGGTCCTGAGCTGTACAAGAAAGCCAGATAAACTTCAGCCTGTGAGCCAGTAAGAGGCATTCCTCCACGGTGCCTGCTTTTAATGTCAAGTTCCTGCCTTGACTTCCCTCAATGATAGACTGTGACCTGGAAGTGTAAGTCAAATAAGCCCATTCCAAGTTCCCCTTGGTCAGAGTATTTTATCATAGTAACAGAAAAGTAACTAGAACACCAAACATGGACACATGTTTTCCCACAACTCTGTCTTACAGGTTGATGTTCTAGGGAGCGGGGGCACTGGGGGCGGGGGGGAGTTGTTTGGGAAATGCTGGTTTAGGCACATACCATGTAAGCTTGGCAAAATGACTCCATTGGACATATACAAGAGTTGCCAGGAAAAGTACTGTGTATAAGTCCCCCTGTCCAACCTTGAGAAGTAACATGGGGACCATACCCTGGTTTTAGATTTCTAAGCTTCAGGACTATATGATAATAAATTATTGTTGCTTTAAGCCATCAAGTTTGTGACAATTTCCAATAGTAGCAATAGGAAAGTGTCTGCAGAGGTGGAGGCAGGGCTATTGTTCCAGGCTACCAACCAGCAAAGGCTGGAGGGATTGGGGACTTCACTCAGTTGAAACCTGAAATGTGACTTTGACGCAGAAAAGAACTTCAGGACAAGCCAATATAAAGCAGAGATCAGTTTGTATTGAAACGTATTTTAAACATGAAGATGGACGGTTAACAGAGAGGCATCCAGGAAAAAGGTAAGCACACATGGGACACCATGGGACACCACGGGTGTGGACGTATCAAAGGAAAGTTGTAACTCACTAACTTTTTAACAGGACACAGAGTTCTGTGAGCTCTGAAGTGACAATCTTCAAAGGGCTGCTAAGAAATGTAAATGAGATCACAGTGTGGTTCCTAAGGTGAACCTGACAGGCTTACACTTAAAATCATGGTGGATGTTAGGGATGTAGAAAGCGGAGATATCTTCACCATGAACAAAAGAGAAGAGTGAGGTGCTGTCCAAGGTCATATAGATCCAAGACTTAAGCCTGATTTATTGGCATTTTAACATTTTTATTTGAAAATATTTTTATTTAAGATAACTATGGGCCCCAATATTGTCTGTGAATGTTTATTTATTTATTATTTATTTATTTATTAATTCCCAATCCTCAGCTGTTAAGAGGTTCCACAGACCCAGAGTGTGGGGTTCCTCTGTCACCGTTTCCCCGAACCTCTCCTTCCCATCCTGGTGCAACCCTCTCTTGTCCCCGCTGCTTTCCACATTGGCTGCCCTTCGGATTTACCTCTTTTCTGAAGCCTTCCTCTCAAGCTGTTTTCTACAAGCAAATCTGATTATGTCACAGTTTCAAGTGTTCTCAGTCTAGTTGGGTGCTTTTCCAGTAATAGAATTAGAAACTGGAAGTCTGAGCTGTTTATCAACCCTACTGAAGGCATTTGGGGTCATCTCAGGAAGCCTGACAGGTGCATGACCTGGCTAAATAAGCTTACAACAATTTGTATTATACACTGGAGAAAAAAAGCACCAACTAAATGAGACTGAGGTGGGGAACAGACCTCTCTGTTTATCTAGAACTGGGAAAAACTCACTGACTTTGCAGCTATCAATAAGGCCGTGTTCCAGCTTGGAGATAAGATGTCTCACTGGGTGCCTGGCTCTTAGGAAAGGTTTCTATAAATGGCGGGCATGGTTTTCATCATAGTACATCTAATTCTATTCAATTCTCGTCACATGAGAGCTGTCATGGGTAAGCCAACTTGTTCATTTCTGGATTCAAGATAAAACTGAGGTCATTTTCGTTCCTCATTTTCAGACCTCCACAAGAGATGACCGAGACTGGCAAATGTGGCCAACGCACACGCTGGGCATTAAACTTTTCCATCAGCTTTGGCAATCAGGCAGGTGACTGACACTGTTCAGTGGAGTGGAAGATTGACAAGGGAAGGGAGTGTGGGACACATTTACCCTAAGGCTAGAAAACGCCTTTGAAAAGATTCTAGCAGAGTTAAAGGAGGACCCCAGTCCCACACAGTCTCTGAAATCCCATTTCCTTGGATTCTGCATTTTACTCCTAGAGAAAGCTCCTCACCAAATCCTCCCATTCAAGTCTCGGCTGGCATCCTCTTTTTCCCGGGTTCTGCATGGGTGGTGGAGGGCGAACGAGCTGAGGAATAACCACAGGTCAAACCACGAGGAAACAAACATTTAAAAAAGAAAGCAATCACATGAACCGTGAGAAGCTGGGCTTCATATTTAATATTCTTATTTTGATGATGAAAAGCGGGTCCAGGGAACTAAAGGGAACATTCTATAACTGGAATGCACGCTTGCTTCTCACCCACTGCATGCAACCCCATCTCTTTTCAAATTAATAACTATTGCTGAGCTTTGGACCGAAGTTTGTCCACTTCAGTCACTGCCTGACACAAAATAGTGAAAACCACATACAAATCTGCATTTCCAGGTCAGTGTTCCGATGTCCTTCGCTGATTAAAGGCTATTTTTAAAGGTGTGTGGGTGCATCTTTTGAAGCTAAGCCCAGTTCTCTCTAAACCTTTGTTACTCACCTCTGATTCATTTGCCGTTTTTTTCTCTTTTTTTTCTCGTCTGTTGCCTCTATCATTGCCTACTGCTGGGGGGTGTGGGGGTGCGGGTGCTGAATCACAGCTACTCAGAGGAAAAGCAATTCAAACTAGTCCTTGGAGAATGCAAGAGTTCTTTTTCTTTTTTGACAGTCTCTCTCTGCAGCCCAGGCTGTCCTGGAACCAAAGTATGTAGCCCAGGCTGGCCTTGAACTCCTGGCAATATGCCTACCCTAATCTTTCCAATAAACTCAGCTCTTTCTTCTCTAATATCTGATTCACTCTTTTGGAGTCCGATATTGCCTGTTACTAAGGATAGATGCCGAATCGCAGAGGAAAAGCAATTCAAAAGGCAGAAGCAGGCGGATCTCTGTGAGTTCGAGGCCAGCCTGGTCTACAAAGCGAGTTCCAGGAAAAGGCGCAAAGCTACACAGAAACCTTGTCTCGAAAAAAAACCAAAAACCAAAACAAACAAACACACAAAAAACAAACAAACAACAACAACAACAACAAAATCAAATCAGTTCTTGAAGAAAGGATTCTTCTTTTCAAATAGGGTCTTCGTAGCCTGTAGCCTAGACTGGCTTCGAACTTGTGACAATCCTCCTGCCTCAGCCTTTCCAGGGGGCCTAGCTCTTCCTAAACCTTTGTTACATTCAATTCATTCACTTCATTTTTATTTCTCCTCACTTGCGAAGGTCATCGCGGGCTGATAGGGTGGACATCTAATCACAGCTGCTGCACAGGAAAAGCCATTGAAACCGGTGCTTGGAGAACGCGGGGCCGGTGCTTTTTTCTCCCGTGTCAGCCGCACAGAGCCGGCAGCTGCAGTCTCTGGAGCTGACGACCCGAAGTCAGTGAACAACCTGAGGCAATGTTACCTCTGACGGCTCAGGCCCACAGGCCCCAGCGCCTCCCACAATGCCGCGTTGCGCGGTTCCCTGACCGGTTCTGAGGGCGGGGGCCGGCGGCTGTAACCCGAGCTGGAGAGGGGCTAACCCGGATCCTCTGCCCTCAGCCCGCGACCCAGAAAAGGGGCGGAGCCACTGGCCCTCGGCCCGCCTCCCCGGCCCTCGGCCCGCCTTCCGGCCGCACACCGCCCTCCGTCATGCCCTCTCTGGCCGCCTCCTCGGCCCTCGGCCCCGCCTCCTTGGTCCTCGGCCCGCCCTCCCCGGCTCTAGGCCCCGCCTCCCTGACCACCGGCCCCGCCTCCTCGGCCCTCGGCCCCGCCTCCCAGGCCCTTCGCGCCCGTCCTCCCGGCCCCGGCGCGGCCTCCCGGGCTCGCGCTCGCCGCCCTCCTCCCGCCCCTCTGCGGGGCCCGGCGCGGCCCTCCTGGTCCCGCCCTCCGGCCCGCCCTTCCTCCTCTGCGCCGCTGTGCACCGCCCTCCCCGCCCGGGCCAGGCCGGCGTGCGCCCTCCCTGCGCCGCTCCTCCGCCGGCTCGGCTCCCCGCGCGCCGCCCTGCGGCCCGGCCTCCTCAGCCCCGGCCCCGCCGCTCGCTCTCCGCCGCCGGGTCGCCGCGGGGCCGCCTCAGCCGCCGCCGCCGCTCAGCCAGGGCCCGGCCGGGCCTCCGCCGCGGGCCGTGCACCCGGACGGCGGGACGGGCTGCGACGCGCAGTAAGTAGAACTTTCCCGGCCCGCGCCCACCGCGGCCCCGCTGTCACCCCCGTGCCCTCGCCCCGCCGCCCGAAAGTTGGCGCTGCCGGGGGTCGCCTCTCCCCCGGTGTCCTTGGCGAGCGAGTTTAGAGGCCACTTTTGTGGGGAAGGGAAATGCATGGCCGGCCCTCTGGCGTCCCCCTCTCCAGATGGAAATCAGATGCTCGCCTGGAGGGAGAGCCTTCCCTCTGGAAAAGGAAAAGTGGCGGTTGGTAGGCTTTTGCGTTTTGTGTGAACCGGGGCCGCCTTGCCTACTCGCTCAGCCTCCCGGGTGGTCAGCCCCTCCGGGGAACCGAGCCCCCAAGAAGGGCTGGCGAAGTTCGCCGCGTCCTGTACCCTGGAAACTTGCAGAGGGCCCGTCGCAGGGAGGTTCAACTTTAAGGGTGGTGGGCTTGGCGTGCGAGGCCGCTGCGGCCCGGCGGTGGGCGGCGGGGACCGGCTTGCGGCTTGCGTAGTCTCGGCATCGCCGAGCCGCCCGGGGTGGCCGGACCACTGCTGTCCCAGCATCGAATGGCATCTTGAGCCCTTCCGTCGTAGGATAGAATTGCAGGTCGGTATTGGTCCTAATCTTTGGAGGTATAGAAGGAAATATGCAGGGCACGTTTCCTAGCTGACTGGAGCTTGTGAGGTCAGCCCTGCCAACACATCAAAGCCTTGCGTTAAAAACAAAAACAAATACAAAAAACCAAAATCCCTCCAACCCGCTGACAGCAGGGACGAACACTTAGGAGGGACTTATCGTAAATTGGGGCTCAGCGATTTTTCATGAGATTTGTTTTGTCCCAGGGAAGCATTTAAAATATATAGCGACCTCTGCTTTTCTGCTCAGTTTGAGGGGGTGTATATGTGTGTGTGTTGGGGGGGGGTGTTAAGGTAGTTTTTCTTTATTTTTTAGAAGTCTTTCATTTGTGGTTGCCAGGGATTTTGATCGTGCTTTGGAGGAAAAGAACCAGCAGGTTTCCGTTTTTTTTTTTTTTTTTTTTTTTTTTAAACCCAGCCTTTGCTTGAGGCAGTCCTGAAGATCTGTTAGTCCACTGCAGGGGGAGGTGCTGGTGAACACAGGAATCAGGGCTCGGGACAACTGCACTATCAGTTTGGGAAGTGGTTTGTGCTATATCTTTTAGTGGTCATAATGATGGTTCCTGTGATCTTATTTCCACGGGGAACTTCCCCAAACCCTCAAAACTACACATGACCAATACTCCATTTAAGAAGACTGGACACAGTTTGAGAAGTCTACTGAGGGATCAGATGTAACACAGCATAATTTGCACTGTAGGTGATTAAATCTTTTCAAAAATCAATCATTCATCCCTCCCCCTGAAGCGCCTCAAGATGGTACTTTCCGTACTAGACTCAATTGGCCATAATGGACTGAGAACTTCGTAGGTGATCAAGCCTGTTTCTGATGCTTCAGGAGCTTTGGGGGGACAGTAGAGAGCCCCTAGAGGGAGCCAAGCCATGGGACTGTGCACATAGGAAAGGTTTCATTTAGTGTCAGTGTCCTGGAGAGGTGTCCAAGTCATTTCAGGGGTCCCAGTTCCTGATTCTGCATTTTTTAGAGATATTTGGAAATTGTAGATTTAAAATCCTACAGGATCATGGTGTCGTTTTTCTTCGCATCTTAGTCTTCTTTGCATTTTTAAGTTTGTGACTTTTAAAATCGGAATCCTTGGTACTTGGTTTTTGTAGTCTTTTTTATTCAAAACTGTGTGTTATTGTTTGACCTGAATGCCTTGTGTTCTAAGAAATGATTAATTCTTCAAGGTTTTCCTATTTCTTTCTGTTGTATATAATAACTTGAGAGTAAAACTGTTGTTTACTGCAAGATATCATTGTTCTTATCGTTGTAGTTAATTTTGGTGGATGGTTTTGTCAATTTATAAAACCTTGAGGCCCAGATAACTTGCAAGTGTTCAAAACTTGACCGCTTTCCTTCTAGGTGGAGGTGGAGTAGGGCTGGGACATGGAGAGGAAACATTAGGAATGGTAAATAACGTGCCAACTACCCGCTCTCCTTGGAGGTTACTTTGTTCCAATCCTAAGTAGGTTTCAGAATTCCGCATGTAGAAATAGTCCCTGGTGTTCTGTAGACTGGGAGAGAAACCTTGTAGCAGCTAGCCAGGCTTGTCAGCATCCAGGGCATTAAGGATGGTACCCTGCTCCTCTGGCTCTGTGATCTACAGTCACATCCTTTAAACGGGGATACTACTGCTAACAGGACAGCTATGAGCAGAGCACCTCAGGAGTGCCTGACACATCTTAGTCAACCATGGCAGCATCTCCCAGGTCCCCAGAACTTACTTTGTGGCCATCTTAGACTTCAGACTCTTTCTCATTCATCTAAACCAAATGTCTTGCTCACTGCACACTGCTCTGTCCATCAGCCCTCCAAGAGGGTTGATCACAAAGTACTGTGATGTTTTCCTGCAAAGTCTCTTTGGAAGCCGTCTGATTTTCATTTTCTACTATGTTGTCATTTGGTTCAGGCCGCTCTTGTCCTCCTTAAGTCCAGTGGCCTGTGTTACCGCTTCTTGCTTGTTTTCTTACCAATAACCTGAAGAAAAAAAAAGTCACTTGCTTTTTTCAGACCTTCAGGATTGCCAAGAAAGGCATCATCCCTGGAGTAAGATGCAACATCCTCAGCAGGCTTTCCTGCCCTGCTTCTTAAGGCCCAGCCCCTCACCTACATCTCCTCAGCATCTAGGCCAGTTCTCCAGCAGTCTGGCCTCAGGGCCATTGTCCCAGCTGCCAGTCTCTCCTTTGGTACCATCTCCTTGAATAACCTCTCATCTTTGGGTGCCAGCTCCAGTACCCTTTCTTATGGAAGTCGTCTCTGAGAAGGCCATCATCATCATGTCTGTTAGACCCAACTTATTTTCTTCTACAAGGACAGTCATCTTAATTCACCCCAATTTGTAATTATAATGCATTGTATTAACCCCCTTTCCTCTCTCCCTCCCTTGAGGGCAGAAATAGTGCTTACTTTACTGTCCAGTTCCTAGTATACAGAGGAATGCTCAGTAAATGTCTGTTGGTGTGTGTCCATTCTTCATTTATGCTCACTGTATAGTTCTGGCTGGCCTGCAACTACCTATATAGACCAGGCTAGCCTCGAACTCACAGGAATCTGCCTACTCCTGTCTCCTGAATGCTGGGATTAAAACACTCGGGCACCACCACACTCAGCACATATATGGTTTAATATCTCTTGTCTCTGTTATATTTATGTTTTGTGACAGAAAAGCCAAACCAGCCCTACTGTGTTCCAATTTTGTGAATGATCTGAAACAGCCTTTGCAAGTATCAGGTAAAAATAATGCATTTGGGCCAGGCGGTGGTTGCTCACGCCTTTAATCCCGGCACTCGGGAGGCAGAGCCAGGCGGATCTCTGTGAGTTCGAGGCCAGCCTGGTCTACAAAGCGAGTTCCAGGAAAGGCGCAAAGCTACACAGAGAAACCCTGTCTCGAAAAACAAAACAACAAAACAAAACAATAATAATAATAATAATAATAATAATGCATTTGTGGTTTTTGGAAAATGCACAGTAATATATTGAGACAACTTTTAATTAGCATTGCCCTTGTGATTCTCTGTGGTACACATTCCGCTTTTCTAACTACAGCATTAAAACAATTATTTTTTATTAGTGCAGGATTACAGAATGGAAATAAGAATTTTCCAGTGCCTGCTATTTTACACAGTGTCACTGGTTATGTGCCAGACAGATGATGTTGACCGCTCAGAGCCAGATGTCCGAGGAGGTTGGGGAACTACTGTAGGAAAAAGCAGGCAAGCTCTGAGGAAGCTCAGTAGTGTTCCAGCATGCCATCTGTCCAGACAGCCGGGAGGGGAGCAACAGGAGTCACCTAGAGGTGGGGAAGTGCTTCTTACTTTAAGCAAAAGTAGACACAACCTTCCATGGCCAAAGAAGCTAGCATTGCTGGGTGTTTTGCTGTGTGGTTGCTCCATATACATCCTGACTCAGGGTCCTGCAGTTCAGAGATGCCTGTGCTGTTCATGTTGCTGCACACACTACATTCATATAGAACCTTCTGCATGACCTCCTCACTCTTCAGTTACTCCTCACCCTTAGATATGTGTAATCCCAGCATCTTCCTGTCCTTCAGTAGGTGCACTGCCTTCTGCACATGGCCTCCAGCTCTCCCTCTGGGCACTCTTGGGGTGGACAACAAGAGAGGTTACACGCCAAGTCCCCTGCTGGCTCAAGTGGAGGGTGTGGCTGACCTGGACATAGTCGTGAAAAGGATGCTTAGGTTTTCATACCTTCACTTTATTCAGAGAAACTAGTCCTTTATTCTCTTTTTTCCCATTAAAGATAGAGCTGTGCTGTCTGTAGCAGGGCCTTTACTTTACCTTAGTGCTTACTTAGACAAGGCTTGCCTGCATGAAAAAAACCAGGAGTGTTTTTTGTGGTGGGCCTGGTGTGTGACTTGCTTTGTGCAGGGCCTCTGTGCCCCAGGACATTTGCATCACCAGTGTAGCCATTATTGTGGCTGGGTGCCCTTGTTGTATTTTGGTCCCTTAGGTGTATGTGCCTACTGGCTATCTAGACGAACTTGGACAATTGCCTGGAGTGTCTGGCACCAATATTATTTATTTCCCAGCCCTAGTGTCAGAGGTAGACCAATTTTAGTTGTTTATATGTTTTACACATTCAGGTATTATCACCAAGCTCAACAAAATTAACTTCAGAGCTGTCCAAGTTTTATGCATTGTAGCTTACTTACTCAGTAACATTTATTTACTCTCTGTTTTGAAAAAAAAATCATATAACTATAGGTTGTAATAAGAGGGAAGTTTGTAGCTAGAGTTTTCCTGCCTGGCCCACAGTCAGGACAAATCTCTCTCACCTGCCAGTCCCACAGCCGCTCAGACCCGACCAAGTAAACACAGAGACTTATATTGCTTACAAACTGTATGGCCGTGGCAGGCTTCTT